TCCATTTTACTACATATCCATACCAAAATATTATTATTAGATAAAACATATATCCATTAATGCAAATTTTGGATGCACTTCATCAGATCAGATTGTTCAGAAGAAACATAAGAACCCTCTCACAATTTTAATCAATATATCTGTTGATGATAGAAACTGTTTGAAAAATAATTCCTGTAGGTCTCCCTCACTTGCACAGAAATCCATTACCCAGCTACTGGCAATAAACCATAAATACATGATCTGATTAACAGCTTCTTGAACAAAATATTCAGTCTAATAATCAATAAATGCTTCCCAGGGCTAAAGGTCTGTCAGCAGTTGCATAATTCCAGGGTTAAGCATTTTAAATTTGTTTAAAGCTGCAGGTTAAATAAATTCAGATTGCAGGAAAATTAAACATTAAAATTAAAAAAATATATATTGTTTTTAAATCAACAATGTGAATATGGAAATGTTACTCCATTAATACTAATCAATTTTCTTGTACACACAAAATATGCTTTGTTAAATGTTTTAGCAAAACATTCTTGTAGGAATTATTTGTGATTACTGGGAATTATACTTCAAAAATACACAAACGAAAGATGGAAGTGTACATATTTACTAACCAAAAGAGCTGGCAACAGATTCAACTTTCATATTTTAACACAATATCTCCCTAATATATTGCAAACAATTATTTATGGTGAGAATGTATGAGAATGAACAAAACTGGGTGCTTACCGTGCAAATCTCCAGTGGATCCAGCCCTGATTAGGGAAAGAAACACAAAATTCTTTGCTGTAGGGGTTGGCAGTCTCAGAGCAGGCAGTTACATTTCAACTTTCATTGATCTTTACCTCATATAGCTCTTAGACCTACCTCTTCATAGATGTAAATATTGAGAGACCTTGGGGTCAAACATCAAACTCAAGTGTGTAGATTTGTGGATCAGTGAACACTTTGAATGAAGTAGGTTAGAAACTGGTACTGTATAGTTTGCAGAGCTAAATAAACTCACTGCTGACAGTGCATGTGAGCCACTGAATATGAGTAAACATGCTGCACAAGAAAAACTGCACATAAATGAGGAGGAGATGACAAGTCATCACTGCCAATACTGATATTAATACAGACTGTTGTTGGATAGAGGGCTTTTATATTGCTTTCTTATATACCAGACAAACAAGCCAGTGCCAGACTCCACCATTAACTTGGGTCATCTGCAAGCACATGCCAAGATCTCCAAATTGAGAGCAGTTGAAAGGCAGTGTGTTGCAAACACTCAAATGGACTTTGTCCCATCAGAGTAACCTCTCCGGTGGGTGCTCAGCTTCCAAGCATGAAAATCCACAGAGCAAACTGAACAACTGACCAATCTCGCTCATTCATCAATGAGTAGGTCATCAATCAGCCAGTTTGAAGTTTTTCAGACAAAAAAAAAAAAAAAACATTTATGATCAATTTATTTTACTTTAAATCATTGAAAAGG